AACTATGAAGTACTTAATCTCGGAGACAATAGTACCTTACTTTTAGGCTTAACAATTCCACACTCGAAAAATTGGAAGCAACGTGAGTGAAAACGCGTCTAAATTTGTTCAATTTTGTAACTCTGAAGTTGATCGAGAAACGTACTCCTTGTGCTCCGTTCTAATCTGTCAAAATTAGAGAATATGATAAGGTGAAGTTTATTTTGAGTATCGAAGTTACAATTTCAACATTGATAAACCCAATGTTAAGTTTCACTCCTTAATTGATACTGAAATCGAACTTTTGAGAAGCTGTATTGATTTCAGATTTGCATTTCTAGGTTTAAAAACCAGAAACCAGTCGACATTCAGAATAATTTGGATTAGACGTTAGAAGTGTGAAGATTACCAGGAAACCGAAGCCGTATATACACAAGAAAGCCAATAGCATTGGAGAAAAGAATGTGCTCATTTTTTACCTTGGTGGTGATTTCACCATGGATCTGATGGATGTTAATTGTTGATGATTTAATGATGCATCTTTGCAAGACGACATGAAGCACTTGGAAGAAGGTGTTTTCGCCATGGAACTGGGTGATGTTGATTGTTGATGATATGTGCAACAACAGGAAGAGACCTAGATGGATTTGAGTGAGAAATGAGAATTTGGGTTGTTTTAAAAGATGATGGAAGAGAGAAAGCAATTGGAGAGTATGAAAAAGTGTCGATGATGATAAAGTGGTGAGCAGACAGGGGAAAAAGGGTGAAGAAAGCAAAAGAGGAGAAGATGAATACTACTGGGTATTAACAAATGTCTATGTGGCAAAGGGGTAACCGGGTGACCCCTTCATTTTGTCCAAAAGGACGTAATCGACCCGACAAAAACAACTTCCTTCCCTCATAAAGCAACAAAAATACTTTAGGGACCAAATAGACCAACCCTAAAAAGTTCGTAAGACATTTGTGTCATTTCCCCTTTCAATTAATCATGTGTAAAACAAATTGTTCTTCAATGGAGTAACCAACTACTATACAAACTCTTTAATTTTTACACTCTTTTTTATATATTTGACTTGGATCAAAGAGGCAACTTTTCCTTTACTACCCTCTCCAAATTTTCCCACAATTTGGGTTCATTGTAATCCTTGATAACAAGGGTTGCCCCAGCATCAAGTAGCATTTTTTCAGGGTTTCTAGTAGCCATGCCAACTGCCGCCATCCCAGCTCCATTAGCTGCTTTAATCCCAGAAACAGAATCCTTTTCAAGAAAAACAAAACCCCATTATCAACCATATCGTTCAAGATCCAATAAGTTTGAATTTCTTTAACTAAATGCAAAAGAACAAATGCATCTAAGGGCGTAAAACCATACCTCAAACACAAACGTATGATTTGGGGCAACTTTAAGTGCATTTAGAGCTTTGAGGTAAGGATCAGGAAAAGGTTTTGGTCTTGCACATTCTTCAGCTAAAACAATAACTTCAAAGAAATCTTGAAGGTTAAGCATTGAGATTAATAATTCACCGTTTGATCTTGGGGCGTTTGTGACAGCAGCCCGTTTTAGGCCCAGATCTTCTACCCATTTGCATAAATTTTCAAGCCCGCTTATTGGTTCCAATTGTTCGGCTGCCAATCTGTTTATTCATCATAAAACAATGTTATATTTACACAGTATATGATATGATATAAAATTTAGTACTGTGTTCCACATGTATTAACTGAGACACTATAGTTTGAAAGATAAATTCAATTCATACAATAGTCGTTACATAAATAGGAAGAATATGTTACTGTGTATATTTAAGCTTTAGAAGTAATATGTGTGACCTCAAAAGTCAACGTGAGAGAAATTACCTTCGAAACAAAGCTTCCTTATCAACCATGAAATTCATGGCTTTTTCGAACTCCCAATCTGGGAGAAGAACACGACAAAGCTCTTCGTTATGCTTCCCACTAATGTTATTTATGAAGAAATCCTCATCGATGGGTGATCCATCATTAAATCCTATCTATCAAATGAAATCAAACGCCCTCTAAGAGATTAAAATCACGAAAATCAAACTGTCAAAGAGACTACCTCTTGGAGCATATCACGAAAAGCGTAGAAATGAAGAGGATCGGAGTCACAGAGAGTTCCATCAATGTCGAAAAGTATTGCTTCGAGAGGAGCGACGAAAGATAAAGAAGAATTGCTGCGTGAAGAATCAACACAGATGCAATCAAGGGTCTATTCGATTCATACTTTCAATTTCATTTCCCATTTTATGTATAAATAAAAATGAAATATCAAAATCAAACCGAAATGGAACAAAATCATCTAAAATAACACAGCTGCAATTAAATCTTGCCATTTGCGAATGGAAACTATGCGTGATATTCAAGAAACTTTAACAATTTCACGAATGAATGTCACTTCCAAGTAGATTCATTAATGGATGCATGTTTTGAGAAATTGGGTGTAATTTGTGAAGAAAAGTACCTGTTGATTGGGTAAGAACTTGATGAAGCGGAGAACCCAAATGGGATTGTTGAAGAAAAATTGGGGAAATATGGCTTCGTGCGTAAAATTGGATTATTGGGGAAGAGATGAAGGGAAGTAGCGAGTGCTGGCATCGTTCTTGCTCAAAATGCGAAGCTCCACGCTTTCAATTCACACAGCTTTTTGGAGCTGTGTTGTTGAGTTGTTCCCTTGTTGTTAGGATACAGTTTAGGTGCTGATACGAAGGAATCATAGCCAACCACGCTATTTTGGATTATACCTTGGATCTTGGGGATTCTTTTCTAATTTCTGCTCTTTCTATTTATGATTCGTTCAATTAAAACAAAATTTTGCACCAATAGAGCGTTTTCTGTTTTACTGTGTTTTAACGACAAGATAAAAATATATTTTATTTTAAAACACAAAAGTATTCTTTTTAATATTATTTTTTTTGTATCTAAGATAATTATTTAACTGTGTATTAGATTATTAGTATTTAAAACTGTATACATAAGCTTAGTATAAATTTTTTTAATTGACACTATAGATACATCTTTTATTAGGTGATCAGTGATCACCATAAATATGGGCCAGGACTCATTGTTTGGAATTTAAATACTTAAAACAAAATGGATTCAAATATCACAAATATCAACGGTTTTGATTCCTTAACAAAAAAAAAGTGACTAATTTTAAGTGTCCCTAGTCAATGATGTTCATATATAACACCTTTAGATAGGGATTTAAATTTGAGTCTACATTATAAAAATGTGTTAGAACTTGGCTAACTTATCAACAAAATCAAATAATTTTAAATTGGGATTTGAATTTGAGTCTTCAATATTATGTGGCACCATCAGCTATTTTGTAATATTTTTAAGCAAATAATCATCCCTAAAGAGAACATCCTTTGTTTTTTTTTTTTTAAATTTCAATAATAATTATTATTAATAATACGTAGGGATAATGACTTAAAAGGATAATGTATTTTTTGATTTGTACACATTTAGTCACTGACTTTTTTTTTCGTCTACATTTACCTATTCAACTTGTTAAACTGTACACATTTAGTTCTTATGACCGGATACTCCAGGTTAGCCGATAAAAATGACTTAATAGGGTAATATATTTCTCACTTTGTACACATTTAGTCCTTAATATTTTTGTACACATTTAGTTCTTAATATTTTTTTTGTTGCAAAATAAGTCTTTTTTATTTTTGTACTCTTTCAGTACTTATAAATGATTTCTTTAGGTTTTTCTCACGACATCTTATGTAGGATAGTCATATAGTGGTGAGATAGGTTGAGGTGGTCCTGCTATATGCTATAGGCCAAGATACCTGGTGCGGGCCGGCTGTAAGCCGTAGGCACAGAAGCTCGAGAAGAGCGGTTGGGTTAAGGCGGCATGCCGACAAACCTTAGGTATTCCAGTCCGATGACTGATTGGACATGTTGCATGTTGGCATTCCAGTCTGATGACTAATTGGGTAAAGGTATTCCAATCTGATGAGTGTGGGCTCGTTATGCATGATAATACGTTTGTTGTATCGAGTATTTTGGGGGAAACTCACTAAACTTTATGCTTACCCAGTTGTTTATGTTTTCAGGTTCTATCGTTGATCGTGGGAAGGCGAAAGCATGATTGTACATACTCATCAACAGTATTGAGGATTCCGCGTTTCTTATATTACTCTGATTTTCGATAAATGTATTTTGGAATAAACATTTTTTTCTTAATAATGGATTTATAATTAGGGACTTTTGACTTATTTAAAAATGAAAATTTTTGGTTGTGAAAACGAGACGTTACACATAAACATCAACAGCCCTACACACTTCATCAATGATTGCCCCACGTAAGATGTCGTGAGAAAAACCTAAAGAAATCATTCATAAGTACTAAATGAGTACAAAAACAAAAATGACTTATTTTGAACCAAAAAAATATTAAGGACTAAATGTGTACAAAAATATTAAGGAATAAATGTGTACAAAATAAGAAATATATTACTCAATTAAGTCATTTTTCTCGGTTAACCTGGAGTAACTGGTCATAAGAACTGAATGTGTACAGTTTAACAAGTTAAATGGTAAATATGGACGAAAAAAAAACCCAGTGATCAAATGTGTACAAATCGAAAAATATATTGCCCTTTTAAGTCATTATCCCTAATATGTATGACTAAAAGTTATATATTTTTAATTGATATAAACATTTGTGTGTTAATAATTGTGGTTTAACTATGAAATTGAATTGGCCATCTTGATAACACACATATTCGTGTTTGTAATCTTGTTTGAAGTTAAATAGCTCATGAAATTTGTTGGCAATGTATATTGCTTAATCTTTAACTAATACATACAATTTGTTGAAATATTGTTACTTTATATTCTAAAATTCATAATTAATAAAATTATAAAATTATCCGTTTTCAGTTTTGTTTTCTTAACATAAAAAATTCAGTAGTTATTTTTTCCTCTTAAAAAAATAAAACTTTCATTTCCTAACGTTTTTTGTTCTGTCCCACCAAAACACGATGTCCTAAACCCCTCTTAGATTGAAAAAGAACACAAAACCCCCTCTGCCGAAACTCACAATATCCAACGACAGTGACAAAGAGAGCAAGACCATGACGAGCGGGAGTTTTAGTCTGCTACAGCTATGGCAACTTCCTTACTCCACGCTGTTATTCAATCGCACCAAGCTCTGTAAAGGTTTTTGTTGATTTTCATGTTTGTCTCGGTTTCTGATGCGTTTTCATCTTTTATGCACTATAAACCCTTGTTCGTCAATGTCTGGATTACAGTCTCTCTATTATGGAAACTGGTGGATATATGTATATATTTCTGTTTATGTGTATATATTGTGTCGGTTTACTGATACATCTTCATCATTTAATCACTATAAACCCTAGTTCGTCGATTTCTGAATTAGATACTCCCTCTATGGATGCTAGTAGATAAACATATCCTGTTTGCGTGTATATATAAATACCTTCATTAGTAACAAAACAGTGCGAACTTGGGGACAGAATCAAATCCAACAATTGTTTGTAAAGATGACAACGAGGGAATACGTGAATTAATGCCTTCTATTGCTGGTTTATTCTGTTTCTTTCTCGTCATCTTCCCTGTACAAAAGTCAAAAGTAGATTGTATAAGTCAATCTAAGACATTTCCCCTTGATACCTTTCAGGCTTATACCCATTACCAAGGATGAAAATTTATCCCCTGTGCTTCAGTAAACAGATGCAGACAACCACCTATGAAGTGGTGAATGGAAGCTATTTAGAGACATCACAAACCAAGCATGAAAACAAAACAAAGGTACTTCTGACTAATACATTGTAAAACTTTAAAAGAAAGCTGTGATATGTACATTAATTTAATATTACTCATTGTTAGGAAACAGCATCTGAGATACTTGATACAGTTGGTGCCTTTCAAAAGCTACCTATGGTGATGCCTTCAGTTGATATTCTGTATTCATCACTAAGAAAGGCCAAGAGAATTGCACCTACAAAGGGTAATCAACAACCATGATATATTTTTATTTAAAAAAAATTTATAAAGTTAGCAGTTTAGCACTTGTTTAAATTGATTTTTAACTATAGGCTTTAGTTTGCATGATTCATAGGGATAGCTAATGCTGCTAAGCGTGAGAAAAACAAAGGTGCAAAACAACTTGATGCCCTAATGAAGGTAATTTGAAATCTAGTAATGATCATACAACTACAAGTGTTCAAGTATCAGATGTTATCTAATTATCTATCATTCTATAGTATTTATGTTTATTTTTTTTTTATGATTATTAGGAGCTAACATTGCCATTGAGAACATACAAGGATAATTTCCCAAATAAAAGACAATTACACCCTTATGAACGTTCTCTTATTGAGTTGACTTTGGGAGATGGAAATTATGAAGAGGTTGGTAAAATCATGTAACTGAAGTAACTAATTTATGAATGTTTTATTCAATGTGTTGACTTTTGATTGAAGGTTTTAGGAAAAGTTGATTATCTAAGGAAGAAACTGGTATCAGTTGGAAAAGAACACGCATCACTCTGTGCTCAGGTAACAATTTCTTTTAATCTTTAACTTGTTAACCTGTTTGATTGACATCTGTTATTTGCTATATATCTCAACAGTCAACAACAAAGAGAGAAGCAGAAGAGAGGTTAGTTGAGGTCAGTCACTAAACTACAAGATTTCATTTTTTTTTATATTATTATTATTGTAATTGTTATTGTATTTACTTCTTAAAAGACTTTCATATATTATTATTTACTATAAACATTTTCACAGGGAATGAGAAAACTTGAAGAAATTTTTCTTTCAGATGGAAAAGCCGTTGATGATTTGATGCAAATAGCCAAGGTTTTGTCATTTAAAAGAATATAATTCAACAATCCATGTTTTTTTTTTAATAAAGTTTATAACTTTATACAATATTGTAATTTTTAGACTTTGAGAGCAATGCCAGTTGTTGATCTTGAAATGCCAACACTCTGCCTTGTTGGAGCTCCTAATGTTGGAAAATCATCTTTAGTCCGCATACTCTCAACAGGAAAGCCTGAGGTATGTACAATATTATTTATTTATTCAAGTATTTCATAAAGTTTATAATTATATATTTACATATCAAATTTCTAAGACACTTTCATGTAGATTTGTAACTACCCTTTTACAACTAGAGGCATTTTAATGGGCCATATTGCTTTAAGCTACCAAAATTTCCAGGTCAGCTTTTTCTTCATTAGCATCTATACATGTAAATTTACTCTTTTGCCCTTTTACACGTTTAAAAAAATAAACGTTGTATTTTCACATTTTGACTGCAGGTGACTGATACACCTGGGATCTTGAGGAGACGTGATGGTAACGTACTTTGTGTTTGACTATAATGAAAGAGTTTGACTATTTATTAATTAAATATATATATTAATATACTTTTTTTTATTAAAATTTTGTTAGAGGACAGGAATAATTTGGAAAAATTAACACTTGCTGTGTTGTCTCATCTACCTACTGCTGTATTATTTGTTCATGATTTAACTGGAGAATGTGGGACATCTCCTTCAGATCAGGTATGACACTGTGGCTTCTTTTATTATTATTATTATTATTTTTTTGTTTATGTTTAATCTTATGTTGTTTATTTTAAATAAATTGCAGTTTTTAATTTACCAAGAAATAAAAGAAAGATTCAGTGAGCATCTTTGGATTGATGTTGTCTCCAAATGTGATCTTTTGGAAGAATCTCCGGTTCTTTATGTTACAGAAAATGCTGAGGATGATAATGATGAATTATTAAAATACCGAAAAGTGGGACCCGATGGAGCACTTCGTGTGTCTGTAACAAATGAAGTTGGACTCAATGAGGTTAGAATCTGACAACCATTTTTTGGGTGATTCAAACATGTTTGTTTTGCAGAATAATAAAAGTAAATGAAATAAAATTACTATGTAAAAATAAAGTTTAATCAAATAAACCGTTTAAAGAATTTTATTCAACCTTTGAAAATATTATTGGTCTTGAAGATTATATAAATAAAATTACAACTATATCATTCCATATTTTTGTTGTGGTTTTCAGTTGAAGAATAGAGTGCATGAAGTGCTGGTATCTCAATCAGCAAGACTCAACATTCAGAAACCTGAGGGCATTATGGACAACATTTCTTCTCCACGGAAAACTTTCATTTAATATGTTTTTTTTTCTAGGTTAATCTGCTTTTCAATATTGAAAAAGGATATGGACAACAATAGTGTTTTCATATGTTTTATTATTTAAACATCATGTAACTTAGTCCTTTAAGTTATTATTATTTTTTGCAAGTTTTTTTATTCATGTACCAATGTAATTGATTTATTTTATTTATATTTCGATATAAATTTTGTTCCATTGTGGCTGGTATTACAAAAGACATGTATATTTAATGGAATAGAGTAGAATTTGACATTTATTTGGCATGTTGGAGATGACTTTTTAAAATTTATTTAGTGTATAATACATTTTTGTAACATCAATGTAAAGAGGAAATCTTAAAGTCAAAGTCAATTTAACAAAAGGTATTGCTAGATTCCATGGGGTTTCACTTTTTTTTTAATTACTTTTTCACTCTAGGTTATTTTTACAACTCTTTCACAAAAGGACATTTACTAAATTCTTAAGAGTCAAAGTTAAATCAACAAAAGGGTGGTATAATGATTGAATCATTTTTTAATCAAAAGAGATTAAAACATTTTTGAATTGTAACATCTAATATTATAAGACCTAAGGGTGTAGTTCTTCCTCTCAACATCTTATTTGTATTCTACCGTTCAGATATCACGTCATCTTTTCATTCCCATTCTTTATTTACTCTCATGGTTCTAAATAACGTAAGACGTGACTTGGTGACAATGTCAAACCTCAAATTTTTTTTGAGTCGTGACGAACCACGTCGTTTGTGAAACGTGATTTAAAGCGGAAATTTTGTATATAGTTAATATATATATATATATATATATATATATATATATATATATATATATATATATATATATATATATATATAATTCATTTTTATATATATATGTGACTTAAGGAGACATTTTGTCAAAGCTTGGCGGTAAGTATAAACCTTGAAGCCATGACGGAGCCATGACGAACTTTTTAGAAAATTGCTTACTCCTGTTAACCTAGTAAATGGTTATATTTCATATTCCCTTATTTTATTTATTATTTTTAAATAAAAGTAAAATACTATACTTTAATAAATAAATAAAATTGATTAAAAAAACTTAATAAAATACAGAATTAATAAAAATAGAAATATTTAATGATTTCGAAATAAAAATTACATAATTAAAATTAAAAATGAAACTAAAACATAATAATAATTAAAACAAATTTACAATGTTTTATATATATATATATATATATATATATATATATATATATATATATATATATATATATATATATATAAAGGTTAGCAACAATTCAAACCAAAGTAAAAGATAAATTTTAAATATAAAAAATGATGAAAGACTAATATTGTAAGTTGATTGCAGTCTTTTTTTCTACTGCACCAACCATCACCAATTCACCACACAAAACATCCCCCATGAAGAGGTGCTACTTCACATAAGCGGTGCCACATCGCACTAACCGTATTCATTGTGTGGGGTGCCCACGCTATTTAAAAATAATAAATATTTTTTGAATCATAACAATTTTTTCACATCATTTCTATAAAAAAAAAAAATCACACAGACTTTGGTTCATAACATTTTGGATCATATAGGTTAGAATAGAAAATTTCAAAAAAGAAAAAAAAATTAACAAATTTTGAATCATAACATTTTTTTAATCATAAAAAAATACGATTAAACATCATAACTTTTTTTAATTGTAAGATTAAATCATGATATTTTTAAATCATAACAAATTAAATATCATAAAACATATTGAATCATAATAGTTTTAAATAATAACAATTTAAATTGTAAGATTAAATCATGATATTTTTAAATCATAACAAATTAAATATCATAAAACATATTGAATCATAATAGTTTTAAATAATAACAATTTAAATATCACAAAACATGTTAAATCATAGATTTTTTTTGGATCATCTAATTTTAAACCATATTATTTTTAACCCAAAGTAATGTGGAAAGCACCTCATTTGGACGTATAAATGAGATGAGACTCCCAAATTAATATTAAGCACCCTTTGCCACCATAGGACCCTAGAGACAATTTCCTTATTTAGTATGGTGAAGTCAAGAGCTATTTTTATGTCTTTGATGTCCAAATCTATAATGCCATATACAAACAATGGCCAATCGATTATCATTATAATGAACCTAATACCCTAATACATGGTTATCTTAGCGAATAGGGGTAAAAAAAAGCCCTTAGTAAAATATAATGATTTAATCATTAAAAAGAATGAAGTACCTAAATCAATGAAAAAAATATGTTGAGCTCTTTACTTGTTTTGTAGTTTGCTCATCTATAAAGCCACGTATTGCGTATAACAGAGATTGTAATAAGTAAATAATTAAATATATAGATAATAAAAACACGTTACTTTTTTATATTATGCTAAAATATTCCCTGGCTATCTTAAACGTTAATCAAATTATTATTATATGATTACTTTTATTAAATACTTGTTTAATGTTTAAAATCACATCGTCACTCACCGGCCGAATCGACATGAATAAACCGAATTAAACCCGAACTAAAAATGACTCGGGCCTAACGAGCCCTGTATAAATACCAACCATCACTTCACACCGACGTACCCATACGTAATTCTCCAGATCTTTTCATTCCCCCTGCGTTTCTTTCCATTCTCCACGGGATTTCTCCATTTTGGTAAGCTCCACATCTGTTGTCCTTCTTATTACACCTACTGATCTGGATAAACCTCTTTGGATTTTCAGTTTTTCATATGATTGTACTCGGTTCCTCGTGTTAGATCTTGTTCTATTATTTAGTTTAGCAGTTTTATCCGATTTATCTCCATTCCTGTACTTTTTTACCGGTTTGACTGAAACTACTCTTTTTTTGTGAAAATGTATGGGGCTTTATATCGATCTAGATAAATTGGATGTATATGTTGTGTTGTTTTCTAGGTACTGATCCGTTGTTGTTATTATTACAGTTATATGTAACCTTTTAAGTTAAACTGAAATTTTTATGCGATGATCTGAGTGATTCTGGCATTTCTATGGCAATTGGACAATCATATACAGGATATTTTGGAGAATCATTTACTTGGATCTATATATGATTGCCAAAATGGCAAATTCTAAATTTGAGTAAGATCTGATCATACAGAGTATGCCAGTCTCCTATTTGGATCTGGACATGACACATTGTTACACAGATCTTTTTGTATCTCTTTTATATTCAAGTCGATATTGTTGAAGTTAGTGTGCGGTTAGTCTTTTGTATTCAACTTAATGGGCTTGTTAATTACATTTCTACCATTTTTTATGTAACCATGAAAGTTAACTTTCTTTTGGAATTTTGAGTTGGATTTGTTGAATCAATGTGGTCAATTTGTTTGTCTTAACTATTGACAGTCTAGTTGAACTAGTAAGGTGAGTATTCTTAGGTCCTGTTCTTGATTTTCTATTGCCTGCTTGTGATGCAGTTATGAAAATAGTTTCCCTTCTTTGAATTTTGAGGTGGATTTAAGTTAAAAATATGCAATATTTTTAGATATGAGATGTTGTTTTATGATTTATCACTATTATGTTGAATCTGTCAGAATGATTAGATATTTTCTTGTCATAATCTAATTAAGAATGATATTTGAAGAGTTTTTTCAACCACACTTATAGTCCAGACAAGTGACATTGCCATATGAATTTACAATGTATTGCTCCACATGATACTATTTATGAACATATATTGTAATTTTCATCTTATTCTAATATAAAGATAAAAGATTAAAGATGTAGACTTTATGGTATGAATTTGGTGGATTTGAATTGCTTATGATTATTTTAAGACCATTTGTCCTATTCTCTTGTCATTTTGTAGTTGTTTTAGGGCTAAAATATATGCACAGTTATGTTATGCTCATGTCCACTCTTACCACATTACATAGGGGTCGAATACTAGGTAAATTAAAATATATATATATATATATATATATATATATATATATATATATATATATATATATATACACCTGGAGCAAGTTGACCAATTAAATATATGTTTATTGCTTAGCATATTCTAATCACAAGGTTTTGTGTTGGATGCAGAATTAAGTTATACAAACTATAGTATCCACTCATGGGTACTGTTGTTGAAGCTTCAAGCAAGGTAGTCATTTCCTCAGCCTTTTAGCAATCTTTATTTCTTCATTATTAATATCTTTTACTTCTATGGCTTTGCAAAAGTTTTACTTTTTCCCACTGTGTTAAAAATATTACTATGAGCAACTTAAATTCATATGCATATATGGTTGCAGGAAGCAAGTGGAAGTTCTCTTAGTCAAAAGAAGCCAAAGGTTGTATTTGTTCTAGGTGAGAACTCTAGTTTTAACTTTTAACACAAATCAAAAAATTATATATTTATAATTCTTAAAAAAATTGAATCATTTTTAAATGATTTTGAGCAGGAGGCCCAGGCAGTGGTAAGGGTACCCAGTGTGCAAATATTGTAGAGCACTTCGGGTACACCCATCTCAGTGCTGGAGATCTTCTTCGGGCAGAAATAAAATCCGGGTCAGAAAACGGGTAAAAATAAAAGTGGCTTTCACTGATAACTTCTAAAAAGTTTTTTTAATGATTAAAAAACATGTCAATTCTAATGTGTTGGTAATATTTTTGTAGGACAATGATTCAGAACATGATCAAGGAAGGAAAAATTGTTCCTTCAGAAGTAACAATCAAGCTTCTTGAAAAAGCAATTCTTGAAAATGAAAATGACAAATTCCTTATTGATGGATTCCCTCGCAATGAGGAAAATCGTGCAGCTTTTGAGTCAGTTGTGAGTTGTATATTCTGTTAAATCTAGGGCTATTTTTTTCCATTATTTTTAAAATATGTAAACCTTCATTATATAATTAAGGGAATCAACATATTAGTTCGGTGATTTACAGACTGGAATTACCCCGGAGTTTGTTCTTTACTTTGATTGTCCACAGGAAGAAATGGAGAAACGCCTCTTAAGTCGCAATCAGGTTGATACACATTTGTAAATTTACTAATTTGTCCTCATATTTTATACTCACTTATTTAT